CATTCCACGACTCGCAAGGGCATGAATAAAACTAAAATTTGGATGCTTTTGTTAGATTTATTACAAATCTGTCCGATCTTAGTGGATATGCTTAACCATTTTACAGCGGAAGCAGTATTTGAAAAAGCGGTTGATGCTAACCGTGCGCTTGATTTGATTGATGGAATGCATGTTCCTAAGATTAAGGCTTATGTAGAGCAGCGATCTGTTGTTTGTAAAGGAGTCGTTTCAGATTGGCCGGCTGAGATTCCGGAGCTTTGGGATGCGATGCAGGACAAGTCGGATGTTATTAAAATTGAAAGAATGTACCGAAGAAAGTGGGATGCGGCTACGCAAAAATCGACTCTGGTGGCCTCGAGTAATATTACTATAACCTTCAAGCTGGACAAAGTCAAGGATCTTAAAATTTTTCACAACAAAGTTAATTTAAGAGTAAGACCATTTATTCCACAGACTAGGCAATGTTTTAATTGCTTTAAGTTTGGACATACAAAAACTGCATGCAAAAGTGAGACGCGATGCATAGTATGCGGTGAAAAAGCGCATGGTCTATGTGAGAAATCTATATGTTGCTTCAACTGTGGTGGACAGCATAAATCCACATACCGTGGCTGTCCCGTGCATGAAAAAAATAAGAATATCAATATTATTATGGCCTACAACGGTGTTTCTTTTCTTAGTGTGAGACGGATCGCTGAGGGGGAAATTCCGATTCCAGCAAAGCCCTTGGACAGCAGGATTGACCCTGTGAGTTGGCTTGCCCTGCCTCTTCGAAAACCAGCAGCCCCTGATACATCGTATACTCGCGAGAGATTGAAGCGTGGTACTCGCTTCGGCGTACGAGGCGATCCCTCTAGATTAAGTACGAAGGAACGGTCAGTCTCTGGTGGGATAGGAAAGTATTATGGCCAGTTTAATACACGTGAAGAGGAAATAACGGGGGATAGGAGGGATCTGGCCCTGGCCGCGACCCGCGGGGCTGCCTGGTCCCAGGTGGTGCGGCGCAAACCGGAGAGGAATAGCGAAGGCCGGGAATACGGTGCTGTGGAGGAGATTATTGAGAGTATTATGTTGTTAATGAGGAGGTTTCCCTCAGCTAGGGATGGCTTGATCGAGGCTTTGACAAATGAGTGGCAAAATCGTGTCCCCCTCTCTCTCCAAGCGGCGATACTGGTGTAGGAATCAGGAAGAAAACAAGAGAATCTAACAATCAAGGACAAGGAGGACAGTATACACGCGGAATGGGGAGAGATTCCCTCCCCCCACTGTATAATTCAACCTTCTTTTATGGAACTGTCGAGGGTATCAGAGCTGCAAGGAGGAACTGACGAGGCATGTCATGGAGTATGATGTTGTTGTGTTGACTGAGACTAGATGCAAAGGCCCGCGTAGGGTCTCCTTCCCCAACTTCAGATCTGTGAGTGGCGCTAACAGAGTGGGGAGTGGTGGCGTCTCTATATTTTTACGTACTTTTATGGATTTTACTGAGGTGCCAATACGGGGTAGCCTGCCTGTTGGATACAACGTTGTTTGCGTTAGGACGAATAATCTCTCTCGAAATATTAATATAGTTGCTATTTATAGGCATCCCAGCGAACCGATGGCTAGACACGACTTCGCACCCATATTCAATGCTGTTGGCATGAATGGCCTTGACACTATTGTTCTGGGTGATTTTAACGCTAAGAATGCCACATGGAACTGTCCTACTACGGATGCCAGGGGAGACCTTCTCTATGAAATTATGGATGGTGGGGGCCTTATATGTGTCAACGTGGACACCTGTTCTCGTGACGGTGCCAGGGGGCAACGCGACTCTAACTTGGACCTATTATTTGGCACGAGAGGCATAGCCGGGGACATTTCTTATTCGCAGATCTCGGATTCGTGGGGTAGCGATCACCATCCTATCTCCTTCTCCTTCGATAGTACTCCCTTGATTTATGGGAAGACCACGAACCGTTTGTCCACAAAGAAGACCGACTGGAGTCGATTTCAGCAAGTGGTAGAATCGGAAATGAGAGAGAGGACTCCGCTGCTGCAGGGTCTTTTGGAGATGGATTTTGAGTCATGCTATTCTTCTTTCATTGAGATTGTCAGGAACGCTGTGGCTGTAGCCTCTGGCAGGAAATCTTCTACTCCACCTACGAGGATAATTCCCCCGAACAAGAGGAAACCTTCGCATAAATGGTGGGACGAAGAATGCGACGAGGTCATTCGTATTAGAAGGGAGTCCTTGAGGGCCTTTAAGAATACCAAGAGCCTACACGATTGGCTTGGGTATAAAAAGGCGGCAGCTTCGGCTAGACGGACAATTAAATTAAAGAAGAAAGCTAGTTTCGAGAAATTCTGCAAGGGGATTGACAGGTTCACGAGTCTCTCATACGTCTGGAAGATTATGCGCATCTTTAAGAATGCCAGAAAAAATTTGGAGTGGAATACTTGGCCCACCAGGAATAGGGAAGACGTGATCAAGTCCACTATCGAGAGCTTGGCCCCATCCTTTGTTGGTGTGGAACCTGTATCCGATTTTGAGAAGTGCCATCCTGATGACGAACTGGATGCACCGTTCTCTCGAGGGGAAATGGTCAGAGCTCTGGAGATGATACGGAAGGACTCATCTCTCGGTCTGGACGGCATTGAATACAAGACCATCAAGGCTCTCCCGGAGAGCGCTAGGGACTTCCTGCTGGACATTTTCAACAGGGTGTGGTCTACTGGTTTTTTTCCCAGCGATTGGTTTAATTGCCAAGTAATCTTCATTGATAAGGTGGGCTGTGAAAAGGTTAGGCCTATCTTATTATCCTCCTGTGTCGGCAAGGTGATGGAGAGGATTATCAATGAAAGACTGGTCTGGTGGGCGTAGAAGGAAGAGAAATTTAGCCCGTCGCAGAGCGGTTTCCGCAGGGGCAGGTCATACGCCGACAACCTGGTGAGAATTGTTGCAGATATTAAGGCTGCAATGTGTGTCGGGGAGTATACTCTGGCTGCGTTCCTTGACGTCTCGGCCGCATATGACTGTGTGGATTACGGGGTAATGCTGAGGAGATTGATAGCACTTGATTGCCCCCCCCCCCCCATAGCCAGATTCATTATAGTAATTGGCTATACCGTAGAAAAGTTTGATTCATAGTTAACGCTTGCGATTCGGTGGATCGACTTGTTTATAGGGGCCTCCCGCAGGGTGCTGTCCTGAGCCCGGTATTATACTCACTATACACGCATGGTCTTTGTGTGGACTTGCCGGAGGGTGTTGAGGCGGACGAGTTTGCAGACGACATCGGTCTATACGTCCGTGGACCGAACCGAGAGCGTAATCGACTCTTGCTACAACGTGCGATTAACATCATTGCTGACCGTCTACGCAACATGGGACTCGATCTGGAGCCGAGAAAGACTGCGTTGGTGGAGTTTTCCAGGAGTGGATACATCGATAGACAGCTGAATATACGTATTGATGGATGTGACGTTCCCAATTGCGGCGGTGCAAAATTCCTGGGTATCTGGCTAGACAACAAGCTGAGCTTCGAGCGTCAAATACATGAACTAAGAGGCAAGGTAAACCGAGCAAATTCTATTATTAGATACCTTTGTGGAGTTTCTAGGGGGATGGAGGTAAATACTTCACTTATGCTCTACAAGAGTCTTGTAAAGTCAATTATTGATTATGGAAGCTTTGTGTTCTTTCCCAGAAAGGCCTCTTTGCAGCTTAAATTGGAAAGGGCTCAGTTCCTTGGTATTCGTACGGCCCTTGGATATAGGAACTCCACCCCCAACAATGTGATTGTTGCGGAGGCTAAAGTGACATACTTAAAAGACCGGGCTATGTTGTTGGGTTTTAACTTTGCCAACAAGGCTATTGCTCATAATCAAAATGGTTTGTGTGACAAGATGCGTGCTCTATATGAGGGTGAGAATTTTGTACGGTATAGACAGCCTACGTATGGGTCTTCCTTGTTGTCGGAGATATGGAAAAGAGTAAATCGAACTAAGCACCTTATTGGTCCTGTTGAGAAATTCCCGGTCTTTAGCGGCTCGTACAGCGCCCACACGTTTATACCTACCGTTGACATAGACGTCGGAGCGGGGAGAAGGCGAGAGAGTTTCTCTGACTGTTATCTTATCCAAAAAATTATTAGTAAATACCATTTGGGCCCGAACCCAGACATCTTCTTCACGGATGGCTCCTGTAGGGAGGCAGCAGTATCTACGGGAGCGAGTATTGTGATCTGCGATCAGGAGGAGGCTTTTAAGATTAGTCTGCCCGGCCTTTGCTCTTCCTATACCGCGGAGGCCTTTGCTATTAATTGTTCTGCTCTTCATTTACTTTGGACACGCAAATATGTGGGTGGTAGTGAGATAATTATCTTATCTGATTGTCAAGCTGTTCTCAAGTCTATTAATAATAATCACCTAAATATCCACAAGAATAAATACGTTACGGAGGCTAGAATACTGATTTACAAGTTGGAGAAATTCTGTGACAAGAAAATTGTACTTGTATGGATTCCCGCTCACGCGGGAATTCTGGGAAACGAGATTGCGGATGGATTGGCTAAAGAGGCGACGGAGGAGGAGGCCGATCCCACCATTGCGGTTCCGGTGGGGGATTTGCTGGCGCATGCGATAAAGGAAGCATGGGAGTCTACACAAGTATCGATCGCTCGCGACGCTTTACATAAAGGCGCTTTCTATTTTGAAAAGTTTTATGATCGAGCTTCATCTGTACCGTGGTTCCGCAAAGTCAGAGCGGAGAGATATTTCGTTACGTTCATCAATCGCTTGAGAGCAAATCACTATAACCTGGGTGCTTCCCTCAAGAGAAAGAGGAGTTCCGTTTGAGCGGCCTAACGAGACGGACGTGTTAGCGCGAATCGGCACTTAACCTATTTTGGAATATACTTAGTTGCGTAGAGGGATATAATCGGTCGATGCAATCTTGAGGTCATATTTTCGGTGTTCTTTAGGCTGGAATTTTTGGGAGGGAATAAAGAATTTTTGTGGGCTCCCCCCTCGGAGGGGGAGCGGTATACCTTTTTTTTCTTTCTTCCCGCTGTTTAAGAGACGATTGGGGATGGAGGTCTCGGATGAAGTGAGAGAGGATAATGGGTATCAGGCCACAGATTCAGATCAATTGATCAATAATCGCGTCAAGACTGGCTTGTCGGAGAAGGACTTTGACAAAATCATCAAGGAAATTAATACCGAGAGACCGAAAGAGAAAGAAGCATGGACTGTGGTGCGTCATGGGGACCGTAGTTGTGCAAAGAGGCGAAAAACGGGAGATGCAAATAATCCGGAAGACGTAAAGAAAAATAAAAAGGAAATGTGCAATAGCAGGGGTAGCGATCTTTTAGTTAATCAAGCTTCCGCGAATTTAGATGCGTTTACAGGTGCCCACGCAGTACCGGCTGATGACGCACGTGATCCAGGCATGCTCAACTCACAGGTGCCGCCTGTTATTACACGTGATATGGAGATGCGCAACACGCAGGCTACGGTGGAAAGAGAGATATACAGGGTATGCGGATCGAAATTGATTGAGAGTACAGCACCCATGGGCGAAGTAGAGAGCAATCTAAATAGATTCCCCGACGATCAGGAGGGTAAGGTATCATTGTCCCTCCGGCTTCCCCCAGAGCAAACATTAACGAGAAAAGGTAGGAATCATATTAAAATATGGATGATCCTATCTGAATTAAAGATCCGTCCAATCAATGTCGTTATGTTAAATCACTTTGCGGCTGAAGCAGAATTTGAAAAGGGATCATCGGCTAATTTTGCGCTAGAACAAATAGAGAGACTTAAGACTAAAAAGTTAACTGCTAATATAGAAAAACACCAAATTTTTTGTAAAAGTGTTATAACGGATTGGCCTTCTGCGATCCCTGATCTGTGGGCAGCTATTAGCGATAAGACAAATATAGTTAGTTTGAAACGTATGTATAGACGTAAGTGGGACGCTACAAATAGGACTGCCTCTCTTGTAGAAACAGATAATATTATTATTACTTTTAGAAATAACAAACTGAGAGACCTTAAAATATTTAATAATATGGTTGGCTTGAGAGTACTTATATCACGCAGGTTAAACAGTGTTACAACTGTTTCAGATACGGACACACAAAGAACGCATGTAAGAGCGAGACGAAATGTATTATATGTGGTGACAAGGCCCACGGTCAATGCTCTAAACCGGTGAGGTGTTGTAATTGCGATGGTCCTCATAGATCCACGTTTAGAGGATGTCCAATTTTTGATAAAAATAAAAAAATCAATGTTGTGAAAGCGCACAATAATATCTCATTTTACAGAGCACGAAAAATTGTTGAAGGCGGTGACGCTTCAGTGTTGTCCAGCCAAGATAGATACGTGAACCCGGGGGCGTGGCCCACTCTACCGGAGCCCAGAGGTGACATGATGTACTCTGCAAAAACTAAATCTAATTCCCGGAACGAGGTAGAAATTTCTAAATCAAAAAATGACTACAGGGATAAACATCCCCGTGATGAGACTCAGAGGGACAATAGGAGGATAGCTCCCTCCCGCTCTTTTTATAAACAATTTAACCTTCGAGAAGAGGAAATTAACCAGAACAGGAGAGGCTTGGCGCTGGGGGCCTGTCGCAGCGGTGCAACTGTGGAAAGTGACAGCAAGGATGCTTCCTCCGACGAGGGGAGGAAAGGCATGATGTTTTCTGCGGGGATTTCGAATGCCAGAGATATTGTCGAGGGAATCCTTTTATTGTTACAAAGTGATCCACAGGTGAAAAGCCTTTTGATTGAGGCACTCAAGCGAATGGATGTACGTGGACTAGTAGAAGGGAGTCCTCAGCGACTCAGAGAGACTGTCGAGATGGAATATGAAACACAGATAAACAACAAGGGGGAAACTTTGTTTTCCCATTTGACGGAATAATTCAGTTTATTGTTATGGAATTGCCAGGGTTTCAGAGGCCGTAAGCAGGAGTTATCTAAGAGAGTCATGGACTACGATATAGTGGTCCTTACGGAAACAAAATGTTCGGAACGCAGTCAGGTCTATTTCCCTGGATTCAGAACTCTAAATAGTGATAACCTCTTGGGTAGCGGTGGAGTCTCAATCTCAATTCGTTTACATATGGATTTTGATGTTGTCCCCATCGTGGCTCCTCCGATTGGGTATGATATAGTCTGTATTAAAACAAA